AAAAAAAAAAATAAGCCGGGTTCGGTGGCTCAGCCTGTAATCCCGCGCCTTGGGAGGCTGAGGTGAGTGGATTGCCTGAGCCTGCGGGTTCAAGACCCGCCTGGGCAACTTGGTGAGACCTCATCTCTACAATAAACCAAAAAATTAGCCGGGCGTGGTATTGTGGGCCTGTACTTCCAGCTACTCGGAAGGCTGAGGCGGAGGGATCGCCGGAGCCCAGCAGGTCGAGGCTGCCGTGGCCGAGAGCGTCCACTGCACTCCAGTCTGGGCAACAGAGTGAGACTCCAATTTCAAAAAAAAAAAAATATTATATATGTATTTTTTTTTAGAGATAAGAGTTTTGTTCTGTCATCCAGGATGTAGTGCAGAGACATGATCATATCTCATTATAACCTTGAACTCCTGGGTTTAAGCAATCCTTTTGCTCAGCCTCTCGAGTAGCAATGACTACTGGATGAACCACCATACTGGGCTTATTTTTTTTTTTACTTTTTTGTAGAGGCACAGTCTCAATATGCTGCTTGCCCAAGCTAGCTTCAAACAATCCTCCCGTTTTGGCCTTCCAAAGTTCTAGGATTGCAAGCGTGAGCCACCATGCCCAGTCTAAAATTATATATATATGCCTATAATCCCAGCACTTTGGGCGGCCGAGGTAAGAGATTTGCCAGACCCCGTAGGTTCGAACCAGACTGGGCAACTTGGCGAGACCTCATCTCTGCAATAAATCAACTACATACCTGTAGTTTCAGCTACTTAGAATGTTGAGGCAGAAGGATGACCTGAGCCCAGCAGGTCAAGGCTGCAGTGGCCATGAGCGTGCCACTGCATTCCAGCCTGGGTAGCAGAGTAAGACTCCGACTCAAAAAAAAAAAAAAAAAAAGGGCTTTGACCCCCCCCCCCACCTTGAGGAGGTGAATCTCCCCTTTCTCTAATCTACTTTCTAAATAAACTACATTTTCTAATTTAAAAAAAGAAAAGACTATGGATGTCATTAGGACTTTGGTACCAACTTGTGGAGGCTACCATTGACCAAAGATGATACAGTCTGACGGACTCAGTGAATCAACAGGGCAAGTCAACGCTGGGGTGGCCGTGAGTGTGCCACTGCATCCCAGCCTGGGGGACAGAGACTCAGCCTCAAAAAACAAAAACAAAAAAAAATAAAGTTGACAATTGCAGTGAATTGAAACTAATTATTTGAACCTATTAATATGTAATGATAATTTTCAATTATCATTGGCTGATTTTGAAAAGAAATCTTAAAAGCTGGTGAATAAAGGGAAAAGGTTTAAAATATGTCCTGTATTAAATTTAGTCTAAAGCTGCCTCCTTGCATATTTCGAGTTTGACCTGGAGGTATCTCCCTAACTTTTCACATCGTGAACTGTAACCTAGCGGAATGTATAAGCAGACTGTAACCTACCCTTGTGCCAATCACCGAGTTTCAGCCAATCAAAAGCAGCCAACTATTCACACCGACTTCAAATAAGGCTAAGCAGCACATCCCTTTCATTTTCTGCATTTTATTTTCCTTTTTCTGTCCACACCTCTGTCACACCAGACCCCAAAAGAGAAGGCACTGTGTCTGAGTGGCCAAAGAAATGACCCGGAGGCAACAGACAACACATAACTTACAGGAAAGGTGGTCCAGGAGTAGCCAACTGAAAAGGAAAAAAACCGCTCCCGATTGTAAAAGGCACATAGGTTATATAGCACTTTTTTTTTTTTTTTGAGTTGGAGTCTCATTCTGTCACCCAGACTGGAGTCCAGTGGCCGCTCCCGGCCACCGCAGCCTCGACCTGCTGGGCTCTGGCGATCCTTCCACCTCAGCCTTCCAAGTAGCCGGAATTATAGGCATGCGCTACCACGCCCGGCTGATTTTTTGATTTACTGTAAAGATGAGGTCTCGCTGCCCAGGCGGGTCTCGAACCCGCAGGCTCAGGCAATCCGCTCACCTCAGCCTCCCAAAGGCGCGGGATTACAGGCTGAGCCACTGAGCCGGGCTGTTATATAGCATTTTAAATAGGGTGAAGTGCAGGGTTAAGCATGAAAAGAGTAGATATAGCAGGTATAGTGTGAGAATGCACTTATACCTACATTGCATGTACACAAAATGGCTGTGAATTCTCTCTAGGGATGAGATTCTTAGTATTATAATGAACTAAAAGTGAGCAAAAGGTAATCAATGGTTATGGGCATTGATCTAGGTGTGCCTGGCGATGTCTCATGCCTGTAATCCAAGCACTTTAGGAGGCTGAGGCGAGAAGACTGTCTGAGCCCAGGGGTTTGAGATCAGCCTGGGCAAGTTGGTGAAACCCCTTCTCTACAATAGGTTGAAAAAAATTAGCGGGGCATGGTGGCACATGCCTGTGGTTCCAGCTACTTGGAAGGCTGAGGCGGAAGAATCGCTTGAGCCCAGCAGATTGAGGCTGTGATCATGCCACTGTACTCCAGCCTGGACAACAGAGTGAGACTCTGACTCCAAAAAAAAAAAAAAAAAGCTGTTTGAGCAGTGGAAAAAGCACCTTGATAGCTGTATTGTATCAAATGGATTGTACTTTGAAGGTAAATGAAGTTTAAACATGTAAGAATAAATATGCAATTTTTTATAAATAAATTCCAGTTGTTTAGGTCCTTCTCATATTTAAGAAGGGAGTTCAGCTGGGCACGGCGGCTCAAACTTGTAATCCCAGCATTTTGAGAGGCCGAAGAAAGAGGATTGTCTGAACTCAGAGTTTGGAGACCAGCCTGGGCAACTTGGTGAGACCTTGTTTCTACAATAAATTAAAAAATAAGCCACAAGTGGTAGCATTCACCTGTAGTTTCAGCCACTTGAAGGCTGAGGCAGGATGGCCTGAACCCAGCAGGTTGAGGCTGCAGTGGCTGGAAGCATGCCACTGCACTCCAGCCTGGGCGACAGAGTGAGACTCCAACTCAAAAAAAAAGGAATTCAGGGCATGCACAATAGGGAAATATGTATGTAACATATATCCCATGTTCACTTTAGAGTGGGATTTTAGCATTAACCTAACTTTTACATGAAAAGGATTTATGTGTCACATAAATACAATTTGTGCACAGTCTCTATAAGCTAGCTGAAACAAGCTTAAGGTCTGCAGTTCATTATCAGAAAAGAATGTTTGTAAAGCTGGTCTTCTTTCTAATAATATGTAGTACTGTCATCTGGGTTGTAATGTAGAATTAGGAGGGGTACGGTTGCTCCTATCGTTAGACAGTTTTGCAAGCTATTATTCTTTTTTTTTTGAGTTGTAGTCTCACTCTGTTGTCCAGGCTGGAGTGCAGTGGCATGCTTGCGGTCATGGCAGCCTTGACTTACTGGGCTCCGGCGATCCTTCCCACCTCAGCCTTCCAAGTAGATGGAACTACAGATGCACACCACCATGCCCGGCTAGTTTTTGTTATTTTTATTGTCGAGATGAGGTCTCGCCTAATTGCCTGGGCTGGTCTCGAACCCTCTGGGTCAGGCAATCCTCTCGCCTCAGCCTCCTAAAGTGCTGGGATTACAGGGTGAGCCACTGAACGCGGCCCTAACTTCTTTTGAAAAGTGAACTAGTAGCCGGGCTCGGTGGGTCAGCCTGTAATCCCAGCACTTTGGGAAGCTGAGGTGAGTGGATTGCCTGAGCCCGC